CGGGGCTTAGCATCCCCGCTGTGTCATCCCTTGTGTCATCTTGTACAGGAAAGGGGACGAGAAGCACAACCCTACTGGACCTGATCTTCACCAAGACTTGAGGGAGACACCGACAACTTGGAGCACGAAATACACCTTGGAGCGAGTGATTGTGTGCTGGTATTTGACTTTAAACAATGCCTATAAGAATTGGAGTTGGGGAAAAAAGACTAGACTATAGAAAAGTGAGGAGAACTTAGAGTGAAGACACTCCAAGAAATGCCGGAGCAAGTCAAACCGAGATGCAAAGAAGCAGAAGACGGACCCACACAACAATAAGAGAAGTAGGAGAGAACACAATACCCGATGATTCAATATTGCACCAAGAAGCAAACTCTAAAAATGGGAGGGAATGGAAGAAATACCGAAGTCAAAGGCCGGAGGAAACTCGGAATAAACGCTACAGGTCTAAGAACGAATACATAAATGTACGCAGGATTTAGGAAATTGACAATGATACTGCATCTAAAGCTAAGACACAACCAAAAATCCTACATATTCAGATAATAAGGAAAATGACAATGAGCAACCAAGTAACTATGTTACAAAAACGAGAGGTGAATATGCAGGAAATGGAATTTTTTTATTAACATATTTAGGTACATCTGTATTTATACAGCTGCCTTAGACTATATGAAGGGGAGTACAGTGTGTGTAAAACAACTAGCCATGTGATACTACAAGTCCCCATCACACAGGATGTTTTAGTCATACAGAGGCATGTGATAAGTTGTCTGCACTGGCAGACTCTGGGTGCATTATGAGGATATCCTCAACACAAGCGTGAATAAGGCAGCAGTGATACTAAAAGTCCCCATCTCGCAAGATGGTTAGTCATACAGGGCCATATGTTCAGTAGCCTGCACTGGCAAATTTTGGTGCAGTATGAAGATATCCTCAAGAAAATGGTAAGGAAATTTATGATGAACTTAATGCCAGCTTCCATGGACTCTTCACAACTGAACCTGAACAGTCTACAGTGCTAGAAGAGGTGGTTACCAAGATGAGAGAATATTATTGTGGTCACTAGATAAAGCTAAAGCTATTAAACTAGACAGTACTCACCTAGTTGTACTCACCTAGTTGTGTTTGCGGGGGTTGAGCTCTGGCTCTTTGGTCCCGCCTCTCAACCGTCAATCAACTGGTGTACAGATTCCTGAGCCTACTGGGCTCTATCATAGCTACATTTGAAACTGTGTATGGAGTCAGCCTCCACCACAACACAGTGTAACACCATAGATGTTAAAAGAAGCAGCACAGGCCCTCAGCATACCTCTTGCATTGATCGTTAATGAGTCACTTACAGAGCGCGAATTGCCCAACGGAGGAGATAAGATATTTAGCTAGAGACAAGTGTCATACACACCTGTGCATGACATCTATCTAGTGCGCATCTATCCTTTACACACCTGACATTGTGCAGAGCAATTGATAGGGTTGACAAAGTCAGTTGATTTAACAAAAGGGGCACGCACACTAGGGGACACAGGTGGAAATTGAGTGCCCAAATGAGCCATAAAGACATTTGAAAGAATTTTAGTGTCAGAGTAGTTACTAAATGTAATGCTTTAGGAAATGATGTGGTGGAGGCTGACTCCATACACAGTTTTAAGTGTAGATATGATAGAGCCCAGTAGGCTCAGGAACCTGAACACCAGTTGATTGACATTTGAGAGGCGGGACCAAAGAGCCGACCTCATCCCCCGCAAGCATAACTAGGTAAGTACAGCTGGGAGAAGAGGTCAATGACACGAAATACTACTCCCAACTTCATGAGAATATCAATATGCCGTCAACACGTCAACCAGTCTCTTAGAACTCCTTCACTACCACGCCCCCGAACGCACCGCACCACCTGCACCCCCTCGAACATGCTTCCCATGCCAGGTGCGCCTCCCACAATACACCTGCTACCCCCCAGGAACATCTGCAACACCCAGGACAAAAAAGATGTTTGGCTGGTGACCAATGTTCCCCGTCGCTGGTCAGGCTGAAGGCTATCAGAGCATTACTCGGCCTGCTCAGCCTGCTCGAGAGGTAATTACATGTCTCCGTTAATTGTAAGATTTACCTGCATACTTCGTAAGATTATATCGCCGTCATTAACACCCTTACATCTTTATATTATACAAGATTACTTGCATATAATTGCATGACATTGCTTGACATAATATTGCAACTACTTAGGAGACATTGATAACACATGAAAGGAGATATAGATAACACATGGAAGCCGCCAATACACATGGGAGAAAGTTCCTCCAGTGCGTGCGTGTGTTTATATATACATTCGCAATAACAGCAAGAAACTACCAATGAGGAAGTCTGCGGACATCCCCCGCCTGATTTGCTTTACCGCTCCTTGTGCCCACGCCTCTCTCCCCCTTCTTCTCATCCCTCTTCTCTCAGTCCTTATCTTCCACCTCCGCTTTTCCCCTCGCCTTACTCCTCTCCCCAGCCTTCCCCTCCACCCCCCTGAGGGCACTCCCAGCACCACAAGTTTAGGGGGAATGCTGGGAACCCCTCAGATGCTGGTAATGGCTGGGATCCCCTGCCATACATCAGGGAGCGGCTACAGGAATCTAATGTGAGGCGGAATACAAGTACGGACACAATTAGTGAGCATACTAGATCCCCTCCGGAGCCTGTCCTGCGGCTCCTCCTTGGTGCATACTAGATCCCCTCCGGAGCCTGTCCTGCGGCTCCTCCTTGGTGCATACTAGATCCCCTCCGGAGCCTGTCCTGCGGCTCCTCCTTGGTGCATACTAGATCCCCTCCGGAGCCTGTCCTGCGGCTCCTCCTTGGTGCATACTAGATCCCCTCCGGAGCCTGTCCTGCGGCTCCTCCTTGGTGCATACTAGATCCCCTCCGGAGCCTGTCCTGCGGCTCCTCCTTGGTGCATACTAGATCCCCTCCGGAGCCTGTCCTGCGGCTCCTTCTTGGTGCATACTAGATCCCCTCCGGAGCCTGTCCTGCGGCTCCTTCTTGGTGCATACTAGATCCCCTCCGGAGCCTGTCCTGCGGCTCCTCCTTGGTGCTCTTCACCTCTGGTGTGAAAGTCACTTGGCGGATAGGTGTTGAGGTAGTCCCTGGAGAGGTCAGTAAGTACCATGGAGCTGGTTGGGCAAGGGGGGTTAAAAACTGGCCGCCGCCGAGTGCATTATCAGAGCAGGGAAAAAGTTAAGGAGCCTCGTAACATCCTCCGAGGAAGCTATTTATTATGTTATTAAATAATTTCCTGCATTCTCCACCCTGTTATGGCGGAGAGATTAGTGGGCGAGGGAAACATGGAGGAGCAGTGGAGGAGGGGGGCTGGTGGTGGTGGAGGAGGAAGGGAACTATGTGGAGAAAGCACCAAGCCATTACGACTATATAGCACTGGGAAGGGGTCAGGATAAGGATTTGGGATGGGACGGGGGGTAGGAATGGTGGAGTGGAGGTTCTTGGCGGAACATTACAATAGGTTTATGTCGTGAATGTTATTATGGTGTTAGTTTAGTTGTAGTGAATGAGTGATGTAGAATTGTGTTATTAAGAATTATTCATAATTGAACATCAGGTTCTGTTACAAATAGTTAGTTGGTAGTTTAGTACCGAGAGACAAAAGGAGAAGGTGAAAAGAATTGTGCAAAGGCTAGTTGTGTAGTTTAATGGGTTAACGTGTGGGCATAATGGTAGCAGATAACAAATGTGTAACACCAGCGCATGTGCGTTACACCCTGGGTGCAACGGTGTATAGTGTATACACCGTTACCAAGGGTGTATAGTGTACCAAGACGGGTGCAGACAAGGCGTCACAATAACGTGGCTGAAGTATGTTGACCAGATCACACACTAGAAAGTGAAGGGACGACGACGTTTCGGTCCGTCCTGGACCATTCTCAAGTCGATTGTGAATGGTCCAGGACGGACCGAAACGTCGTCGTCCCTTCACCTTCTAGTGTGTGGTCTGATCAGCATACCAAGACGGGTAGTGTGGTGTCCCTAGCAGAGTAAGATGGTCAGTGTTGGTGGTGATGACCTGTTAGGTGTTGACACTACGGCATTATGGTCCGTTATTCTATAAAATTTGAAGCAAAGACATAACCATAAATATATATAAAATGTGTAGGATAGGTAGAATGTTTCTCACCTCATCTGCCTCAAGGAAAAGTGGAATGTTTCTCTCACGTGTCTTAAGAAAAGGAAGAATGTGTTTCTCTCACATGTCAAAGGTAGATTTTTTTGTCACGTGTCAAGAAAAGATAAAATTGTGCTTATCTTTCTCTTGTTCAGAGAAAATGTAGGGAATCTTTACTTTATCTATAAGGTGAAGAGAATAAACTTGAAGGTGTGAGAGGCGCTGGTGGTACCGAGGTGGAGAGGAGACGACTTCGAATAATACAAATCTAATTTCTGCAAAATTATAAAGATGGACTATAAAATCATCTGTATATGTTTAAGTGGAAAACATTGAAATAAGAGAATGGGAGGGGGTGAGAAAGAGGGATAGATGGGCGAGGTGAGGTGTGTGTGTGAGAGAGAGAGAGGATTGACTTAGGGAGAGTTGGAGGAGGTAAGGTAAGGAGGCAATGTAAGAGGTAACTAGAAGAAATAACAAGAAAGCAGTTCGGATCGTAGGGCTGTTACCAACCAACTACCCACGGGAAAGTATTCTTTGTATACACATTCAGTTTACTCGAGTGCGTGGTTTGAAATCCCTGATGTTACGGAGGGCTCAAGCCCAAGTCATTTGGAAGGAAGCGGAGAGTGAGCTAGGAGAAGATTAACTTAAAACGCGTGTGCAGCCACCGTGAGCCCCAAGCACTTAGACAAATCATGAATAGCCACAAATGGCCAAAGTGTCGCGGTAATTGTGTAAAATTGAGGAAAACTGAAGAAAAACACGACACGATAATATTACCAGACACCGTGAGGAGCCAGCACCGTGGGACACAGGTACCCAGCACCGTGGGACACAGGTACCAGAGACCGTGAGGAGCCAGCACCGTGGGACACAGGTACCAGGGACCGCGAGGAGCCAGCACCGTGGGACACAGGTACCAGGGACCACGAGGAGCCAGCACCGTGGGACACAGGTACCAGGGACCGCGAGGAGCCAACACCGTGGGACACAGGTACCAGGGACCGCGAGGAGCCAGCACCGTGGGACACAGGTACCAGGGACCACGAGAAGCCAGCACCGTGGGACACAGGTACCAGAGACCGCGAGGAGCCAGCACCGTGGGACACAGGTACCAGGGACCGCGAGGAGCCAGCACCGTGGGACACAGGTACCAGGGACCGCGAGGAGCCAGCACCGTGGGACACAGGTACCAGGGACCGCGAGGAGCCAGCACCGTGGGACACAGGTACCAGAGACCGCGAGGAGCCAGCACCGTGGGACACAGGTACCAGGGACCGCGAGGAGCCAGCACCGTGGGACACAGGTACCAGGGACCACGAGGAGCCAGCACCGTGGGACACAGGTACCAGAGACCGCGAGGAGCCAGCACCGTGGGACACAGGTACCAGAGACCGCGAGGAGCCAGCACCGTGGGACACAGGTACCAGGGACCGTGAGGAGTCAACACCGTGGGACACAGGTACCAGAGACCGCGAGGAGCCAGCACCGTGGGACACAGGTACCAGGGACCGCGAGGAGCCAGCACCGTGGGACACAGGTACCAGGGACCGCGAGGAGCCAACACCGTGGGACACAGGTACCAGGGACCGCGAGGAGCCAGCACCGTGGGACACAGGTACCAGGGACCACGAGGAGCCAGCACCGTGGGACACAGGTACCAGAGACCGCGAGGAGCCAGCACCGTGGGACACAGGTACCAGGGACCGCGAGGAGCCAGCACCGTGGGACACAGGTACCAGGGACCGCGAGGAGCCAGCACCGTGGGACACAGGTACCAGGGACCGCGAGGAGCCAGCACCGTGGGACACAGGTACCAGAGACCGCGATGAGCCAGCACCGTGGGACACAGGTACCAGGGACCGCGAGGAGCCAGCACCGTGGGACACAGGTACCAGGGACCACGAGGAGCCAGCACCGTGGGACACAGGTACCAGAGACCGCGAGGAGCCAGCACCGTGGGACACAGGTACCAGAGACCGCGAGGAGCCAGCACCGTGGGACACAGGTACCAAGGACCGTGAGGAGTCAACACCGTGGGACACAGGTACCAGAGACCGCGAGGAGCCAGCACCGTGGGACACAGGTACCAGGGACCGCGAGGAGCCAGCACCGTGGGACACAGGTACCAGGGACCGCGAGGAGCCAGCACCGTGGGACACAGGTACCAGAGACCGCGAGGAGCCAGCACCGTGGGACACAGGTACCAGGGACCGCGAGGAGCCAGCACCGTGGGACACAGGTACCAGGGACCGCGAGGAGCCAGCACCGTGGGACACAGGTACCAGGGACCGCGAGGAGCCAGCACCGTGGGACACAGGTACCAGGGACCGCGAGGAGCCAACACCGTGGGACACAGGTACCAGGGACCGCGAGGAGCCAGCACCGTGGGACACAGGTACCAGGGACCGCGAGGAGCCAGCACCGTGGGACACAGGTACCAGGGACCACGAGGAGCCAGCACCGTGGGACACAGGTACCAGGGACCGCGAGGAGCCAGCACCGTGGGACACAGGTACCAGGGACCGCGAGGAGCAACGCAGGTACCTAAGGTATCGCCTTAGACAGTCTAACTTCTCTCTCCAGCGTCGCGTGTCTCGCAAGTCTAGAAGAGGATCAACAGGAGGATCTGGTAACATTAGTTATACGTAAAGGAATAAAGTTGGAGAAAAACTCTTTAAATTGAGAGAAAGTAGGATAAAAGATGGAAGCTGGAAGCTCAAATGACCGGAAGCAATGCATGGAATACTCGTACCCTACCTGATCAACCAGGCTGTGACTCATACGTCAGGCTGCGAGCAGCCGCGTCCAACAGCCTGGTTGATCAGTCCAGCAACCAGGAGGCCTGGTCGACGACCGGGCCGCGGGGACGCTAAGCCCCGGAAGCACCTCAAGGTAACCTCAAGGTAAGGTAAGGTAACCCTGTATGGGAGGTTAACTGTGCTTCACCGCCACCTGCCTCCTGTGACATGCTCAGCACCGCAACACTGAGCGTATTGAGCATGGTGGGGGGGGGGGAAGAGACTGGAGCATACTGGGGAGGATATGAGTCGTCTGTCAGGTCCTTCAGAGCCGCTGCCGAGTTATTGCATCCCTCTCGCCTCCTCCAGTGGTGGGGGTGGCCTCCAGGAGAGCCCTGGTGTGCTTGTTGGCTGTGGCTGGTGGTTGTGGTTGAGGTCCTGGTGGCTGGTGGTTGTGGTCCTGGTGGCTGGTGGTTGTGGTCCTGGTGGCTGGTGGTTGTGGTTGTGGTCCTGGTGGCTGGTGGTTGTGGTCCTGGTGGCTGGTGGTTGTGGTCCTGGTGGCTGGTGGTTGTGGTCCTGGTGGCTGGTGGTTGTGGTCCTGGTGGCTGGTGGTTGTGGTCCTGGTGGCTGGTGGTTGTGGTTGTGGTCCTGGTGGCTGGTGGTTGTGGTCCTGGTGGCTGGTGGTTGTGGTTGAGGTCCTGGTGGCTGGTGGTTGTGGTTGTGGTCCTGGTGGCTGGTGGTTGTGGTCCTGGTGGCTGGTGGTTGTGGTCCTGGTGGCTGGTGGTTGTGGTCCTGGTGGCTGGTGGTTGTGGTCCTGGTGGCTGGTGGTTGTGGTTGAGGTCCTGGTGGCTGGTGGTTGTGGTTGTGGTCCTGGGGGCTGGTGGTTGTGGTCCTGGTGGCTGGTGGTTGTGGTCCTGGTGGCTGGTGGTTGTGGTCCTGGTGGCTGGTGGTTGTGGTCCTGGTGGCTGGTGGTTGTGGTCCTGGTGGCTGGTGGTTGTGGTCGTGGTGGCGGGTGGTGGTGGTTGTGGTCCTGGTGGCTGGTGGTTGTGGTCCTGGTGGCTGGTGGTTGTGGTTGAGGTCCTGGTGGCTGGTGGTTGTGGTTGTGGTCCTGGTGGCTGGTGGTTGTGGTCCTGGTGGCTGGTGGCTGGTGGTTGTGGTCCTGGTGGCTGGTGGTTGTGGTCCTGGTGGCTGGTGGTTGTGGTTGTGGTCCTGGTGGCTGGTGGTTGTGGTCCTGGTGGCTGGTGGTTGTGGTTGTGGTCCTGGTAGCTGGTGGTTGTGGTTGTGGTCCTGGTGGCTGGTGGTTGTGGTCCTGGTGGTTGTGGTTGTGGTCCTGGTGGCTGGTGGTTGTGGTTGTTGTCCTGGTGGCTGGTGGTTGAGGTCCTGGTGGCTGGTGGTTGTGGTCCTGGTGGCTGGTGGTTGTGGTCCTGGTGGCTGGTGGTTGTGGTTGTGGTCCTGGTGGCTGGTGGTTGTGGTTGTGGTCCTGGTGGCTGGTGGTTGTGGTTGTGGTCCTGGTGGTTGTGGTTGTGGTCCTGGTGGCTGGTGGTTGTGGTTGTTGAGATAACCGGTCGTAATTATAATGGAAGTTTGAGCCTCTCAATAATGCAATTATACCATTGAAATAATTAACAAAGTGCATCCTTCGCCCTACCTCAGAAACCCCAAGAGGATGAGGGGGTGGCAGGGGGGGGGGCGGCAGACGGGGTGACAGGGGAACGGCAGACGGGAGAGCAGACAGGGAGGCCGGAACCACGCGTCGATCCCCGGCCCTCCCTCCACCTTGGAGAGTGACAAAGCTGCTTCTCGTGTGATGCGCTTCGAGAAAATGTACAAAAAGCTCTAATTAATCTTAGGCGGAGAAGCGGTGCATTATTTGATGTGCGCCGCCACCTTGAGACATTTTTCTTCACATGAGTGATGCAGAAACCCGCGCTCCGATTACCCCAGCCCTTCTTCCCCTCTTTTGGGGGATTTTTTTATCAACGGGGCTCTGTTTTTATTTTTGCAAGGGCTATGAGGCCGGATGGAGCCGGTGCCTGCTGGAGAGTTGTTGTAACTGGTCGCGGTTTGTTTGATCTTGGTCAGAATGCTTTCCGGTCCCCCGAGTGTGTGTGTGTGTGTGTGTGTGTGTGTGTGTGTGTGTGTGTGTGTGTGTGTGTGTGTGTGTGTGTGTGTGTGTGTGTGAGCGTTTGAACAGCCTGACTTTACTCTGAACTTCACGAGTAGGAACTTTTTGCTTCTCTAGATTGAGCCAAAACATTGAGATTAAGTAGCCTTTTTCTCTTTGTCTGAAGCGAGGGAAGCTAGGTTGTCAGTCAGCTCAGATGGTACACTAGGAGATCCACACCCCTTAGTTAGATCTGGCAGGACCCAGCCTGCTATGGGAGAGGGTCCAACACCATGACACTAATATGACGAGATCAGTTGTGTTGCGGCATACCTCGCCCTTCACACATGAGAGAGAGAGAGAATTGGAGCCGGTCGGCCGAGTGGACAGCACGCTGGACTTGTGATCCTGTCGTCCTGGGTTCGATCCCAGGCGCCGGCGAGAAACAATGGGCAGAGTTTCTTTCACCCTATGCCCCTGTTACCTAGCAATAAAATAGGTACCTGGGTGTTAGTCAGTTGTCACCGGCTGCTTCCTGGGGGTGGAGGCCTGGTCGAGGACCGGGCCGCGGGGACACTAAAAGCCCCGAAATCATCTCAAGATAACCTCAAGAAGGGGAAAAGCGCCAAGCCATTATGACTATATAGCACTGGGAAGGGGTCAGGATAAGGATTTGGGATGGGACGGGGGGGAAGGAATGGTGCCCAACCACTTGGACGGTCGGGGATTGAACGCCGACCTGCATGACGCGAGACTGTCACTCTACCGTCCTGCCCAAGTGGTTGGGCATGAGCTCTTGCTTACTGACGAAGGGCTACCAAGTTACCTGCCGAGAGCAGGCTTGGTAAGTCACGATTAATGTGGGCGACTGAAACCCATTCAGGTGGAAGCCTCCGGGAATAAAGATGGTCCCGTGTGGGATATAAAACCCAATTTGGTGTGAGCTGTTGGGTCAAAAAGTGCTCTTCCGACCGGTTGGACTCTGAATATTGTATAATCCGGCGTTAACAACCTCGTTACCGCCAAAGATTAAGTGCGTATCACTGCCATCGCCACAAAGAAGAGGGGAAGAGGTTCCACGCTCAGTGGTATTAACCTTCAAGTTGACCAGAACACACACTAGAAGGTGAAGGGACGACGACGTTTCGGTCCGTCCTGGACCATTCTCAAGTCGATTGTCGACTTGAGAATGGTCCAGGACGGACCGAAACGTCGTCGTCCCTTCACCTTCTAGTGTGTGGTCTGGTCAACATACTTCAGCCACGTTATTATGACCCTTCATGTTATAGGTGGTAGTGTCATAGTCCCTAGAAACCCGTGGTTCAGGGTAGGAAGGCCGCCGTATGTGACGGGTATGGAAAGATATTTCTGACACATGCTGGGGTTATCTTGAGTTGATTTCGGGGCTTTTAGTGTCCCCGCGGCCCGGTCCTCGACCAGGCCTCCACCCCCAGGAAGCAGCCCGTGACAGCTGACTAACACCCAGGTACCTATTTACTGCTAGGTAACAGGGGCATTCAGGGTGAAAGAAACTTTGCCCATTTGTTTCTGCCTTGTGCGGAAATCGAACCCGCGCCACAGAATTACGAGTCCGGCGCGCTATCCACCAGGCTACTGGCGTGGGATAGGAAGATGAACAGCGGCCGTGGAAGTGTTGAGATGGCCAAGAGGGGAGTGGAGGGAGGGGAGAGTGTGCCGCGGGAAGTGCCAGAGGGGAGTTAACCACGCCGCACAGGTGCTGTTACTGCCCCTGATGATTGGATTAAAGTTTTTCTGGCGTATACCTCGCGTGTGATTGAGATGTTAGTTACTACCCCGCAGCCGCCCGGGGCCAAGCAGTCGAATGTTCCCTGCTCAACTTGCGGTCCTCGTGCCAACACCACCACAACAACCTGGAGGATCATCCACCACGTGTGTGTTGTACTCACCTAGTTGTGTTTGCGGGGGTTAAGCTCTGGCTCTTTGGTCCCGCCTCTCAACAGGTCTCAACCGTCAATCAACAGGTGATTACCAGGTGTGTGTGTGTGAGAGTGTGTGTAGGTAGGTAGACACCGAAGAGATTATCGTGTAGGAAGCGCCTACAGCCACCGAGGAAGTAGGGACCCCACACTGCCTACCTGGCTGGGTGCTGGAACACTGAGGCAGTCACATGATAGTACTATCATCAAGCCAGATCAGCCAGCTAATTACCAAGTTTGATAAGAGCCCGTTAATGACCTTCCAATTAGCAAGGATATCCCAATTTGGAAAGAAATATTGGAAAATATCGAAAATCACTGCTTGTTAGGCAAATTGAGCCTTGCATACTAGCCCAAGAAGTGCGGTTTTGGTTATTTGGTACGACATTGTATAATTATTTTCACATTTCACATTATTTTCTTTGCATTTTCCACTAGGAAAATGAAAAGAAAATTCTGAACGTTATAATGTTTCACCACATTAAGCAAATACTGGTATTTCAAATCAAGGAAACTATTTCGTAGATAATGCGGTGAAACACAGAAACGTTCGGAATTTTAGTTTAATTTTCGTAGTGGATACTTACTCTGATCTGGGTTCATTAATTTCATATATTAATTTGATATGGGTTAAAGCTCTGGCCAGGGAGGAATGACTTGGCAAGTTCCCGAGGACACAGCCAGACGGGGGAGCCAGCAACCCAGGGGCCACATTCACGAAGAAGTTACGCAAGTACTTTACGAACGTGTACATCTTTCCTCAATCTTTGACGACTTTGGTTACATTTATTAAACAGTTTACAAACATGAAAACTTGCCAATCAACTGTTGTTATTGTTATAAACAGCC